AAAAATCTCTTTTGGGCGAAAAATTTTAAATCGGTTTGAGCCAGGAAAAAAAGACGCAGAAAAGCTCATGACCCCAATACAATGTTCTATTCTAATACGGGTTTCCATTAAGAGCGTATTGGAATAAAGACAACAAAACTGGAAATCGCTCTGCTTGTTTTGCTGCCGTTACTGTTGTCGTCGCTATAACATATCCTCAATGGTTGATACAAACGATACGAATTCCAGGTGAGTAATAAGTTTTATTCGAGACTATACGACCGTGCTCCTTACGGTCCAGTTACATAACAAGGTACCGGGGGTACTTTCCTCGAAAGTCCCGGTAACTTTTTGGCCCCGAAAAGCTGTTTAAGGGTATCCATGTCTAGATTCGAGATCAACGTTTTAGTACCCGAGGCTTGTAATTGGAAATTGTCTTCAAATACAAAGTAAAACAAAGCAAAAACAGTAAATTTCCTTCCAACTATAAGCTAGCCCAATCGATTTTAAAACGCAAATTTCCCTCCATAGATAAGCCCCTCCAAAAAAAAGCCCCTGAAAAAAGGGCCTTTGAAAAACATAAGCCCCGGGGCTTATTTTTGGAATTTTACTGTAGATTTGAAAATGATAGCAATGAAACATTTGTCCTCTCTTGAATGACTTGAATGGTTTGTAAGTTAGGAACCGTGCTACTATACAACTGGTTTTGACTTTAAATTTTGCCTTTGGGGCCGAAAAGTTATCGGGACCATGGGGAGTTTTGAGAAACAGGCCCCAGAAAAGTCTGGTTTACGTCTTGGCGTTCTTTATTCTTCACAGCAGCTCTTATGTTTTCTTCTACTTGATCAACTTGAATATTCCACTTAACAGCTCTAACTTCATTAACCACTACAAATCAACAACTCAACCTAACTACAAGATCCCTAACTGTACATACTACATATACAACATGAAGGGGGGCGTAAGGGTTTGCAGTAATACGGTTTTGCGAATTAAAATTTTTATTTTAATTTGGGGTGTCACAAAACCAAGAGGTTTGCGGTATTTAGAAATTTTCAGGTAATTTCTCTGCAGTTTGCGGTTTTCTTATGTTATTCTGTACGGTGTTTACACGTATATCTGTGCGGTTTTGTGGTGTTCGTACCCCCCTTACGTCCTTCTCAACATAACTAACTGAGAGAAAGAAACTTTCAGTGAAAACATGAAATCTGCTAATAAAAACGTTCAGAATACTTATGTTGGGGGCTTGTGCAGCTCGCTTGGCTTCTTAACGAAGAGGACCAAGACTCTGTTCGTTCTCCTTAGACAGCGGTTTATTCTTCAAAAGCTTCTGACAACAACTCTACTACTCAACTAACGCTACTAGCTTACACAGCGAATTAAATAACGAAATTGTGGACGTGTTTGGGTTAGCTGACCATGAGACCCTTCCATTGCATATCCTGTCGCTGAACTTGTGAACGATAGAATAGTCTACACTGTCGCAATTAACAAGTACTAAAGAGCCAATTGAATGCTAGCGGTAAAACTGCTCGCTAGGACCAAGCATACAAAACAGGAACTTCAGAGGAGGCAAAACTCAAGGTCAGCTATAATCCCCGAACATGCTTACTTCAAAGAACTACAACAAGCTTAACAAATCCTTTCGATAGACGATACTTCTCAAAACTCAGGAACTAACCGTGTGGCCTATACATTGAATTTCCTTGGACTATGAACTGTTAATTAAGAAACTAGCGCGTGCTACAAAATAATCATTCGGATAGAAAAACCTTAAAAATACCAAAACTCCAAAACAGAACTAACAGCAACTACTTCATAACACTTCACAACTCGCGTTACACAAAACCAACAGACAGAAAATTTACTATCAAGTCGCCGAAATATTTGTTTTACTATTAACGCACGTCTAGAAAAGCTAGGCAGAATGTTTTCTTTCGAGCACATGTCTTTTTTACTAGACTACTTGAGTAGTATACCAAATTAAATACACAATGTTGCATACCCTAATACCTATAAATTATTGACGGGAGAAAAAAAAAAACACGGCATTTCAACCGTGGTTTTTCCTTTGACACCGTAGATGAAATCACAGGACGAAATATCAAGAATCCGGAAACTTAAACATAGCGGAAACACGGGGGACCGTTGCGGAAACCCAGCGGCTAACACGTGTTTCCGTTAACGGATACATTACGGTTTCTCATGTTTCCGTCGCTGCGTTTTCAACGGAACCGGAACACTTTTTTTCGCGTTTCCGACAGATTTCCGTTTCAGGAATCACGTATTTCCGCAATCGTTATCATGTGAATAAGTTGCGGAAACGCGAAATTACGTTCGGAAACAAGTTTGTTTCATTTCGTCTTTCGGCGGAAACGTGGAGTTACGGTCCGGCTACGTGTCTTCTTTTTTCCCTGTTTCCGTCCGTTTCCGTTGCGTTAACTACGTAAATGTCTCCAAAGAATTATTTGCACACGCAGATGCCAATTTTTCTTGTCGTTAACATTTATAAATTCAGCCTTCACGAATTCTGTCATACAATTATCCTCCGAGGGGGTTTTTATTTCTAGACTGCAAGCAGTCTCTCTATGCACGCAAGCGGCGAAGACGCGAACCATCATCATCACTATTATCATCAGGGAGGCCAGACGATCGCTTGCACGATCTTTCAAGCATACCATGGCCGAGATCTCATGGGAGAATGGCCTGAGGCCCACGTTAATAAAGACTCTTAATCCATTTGATATGGTCACTTAAATATACATCAACATTAGAAATTCATCATTTCCTAGCTGTATTTATTTCCATTGCATACAACATTCGCTACGGAACTTGTAAAAGTTAGCGAAGAAATAACACGTAACAAAATTATATCTTCGTGTCTCAACAGTATTATATCAAAAACCACAAACGAGAAAAAACTTAACTTTGAAAAACTGTCAGCCTAGCAAGTTTTAAAAACCACAATTGCAATCCATACCTAATCTTTATTTAGCTTGGCATTCATGTCTTCTTTTATAAATGTTTTAAGGCTTATTTTATGTTTTACTCGTTACATGTTGGCAGTTATTTCCACTGTTTGTGTTTGAATATTGATTAATTTCGTTGCACAGCAAAAGTTGAAAAATGAATACTCCGAACTCATAGCGTAAAACTAGTCCAAAGATTCCAATGCACAAAATGAATTTACCAAAAAAGGAAGTCTTCTTTTCCATTTAATCAAACACGGTCAATACTGTGCATGATTTCACTGGCTGCGAACTGCCCAACGAGGGCCATCAACAGGGCAAGACGTTTCCCATTCCAAAGAAGCAAGATTTAGAAAAAGCAATGGTAGTTTTTTTTAGCAGGACATAGGACCACACATTAACATTGGCAAAGGTTTCTCTTCTCTTAACGCAATCCCAAGAACGTCAGTGTGGGAGGCTACAGGCAAAGGGGTGTCCTTTAAGACAGTTTACTTCATCGCTTACAGAATTTAGCCAAAAGCAAATTTCGACCAAATTTCCAAATTTCATTTTGTGAAATTTTCTAAAACAAATAGCACCATGTGCAAGTACAGGCAGAGAGCTTTCATTTGAATGGGCAGAGCAAAGGATTTCGTCCAAAGACTCAAAAGTTAGAGTCATTCTACAAAACTCCATCAAGCACTCTGGCAGTGAAAGTGTTAAAGACTGGCTCTTTTACACGAAAAACAAGACCGCTAAGGCTCTATTTCTTTTCGTAAATCAGCTTAAACATCTCAGTGGTTTCCTCTTTTTTTTTTTTTTCATTCTTTCTCGACCACCTTCTTTAGCACTGTGTACTCCCTTTTAAAAACAAAACATTGATGGTGATTTAACCAATTTCCCTCGAGAGGAACACAGTAGTTGTTGCTTTTATTCTGAACGGCTACCTGATCACTTCAATGTTTTATCAAGCGTTCCTTCTCTGGGTGTTGTTTTAGTCTTGTCAAAACAAAATAACCGAGGAACAGTGTCTCATAGGGGTGTGTTATGCTTCTTCTTGCCTCTACCTTAGCAACGACGACAGGAAGGACAAAAAAATTATCTCCGCAGTTGAAATTTACAGTCATTTCATAACAATTCTAGAATAAAAGACATCAAAAAATACAAAATGCCTGAAAAATGATTCCGGCTGCAGACTTCTTGTATTCCATATGTAGAAATAAGGAAAATTTGCACCCTTACTAGGACTTAGTGCTAAGTCACGACTTATAGACATTTCTTTGTCCATGTAAATGGTCCAGATTTTCCAGTTAAATGAATAGGCTTAAGGTGGCCCGATAGGGTTTTTCAGGGTCAATACCTCCCAAGTTTGAACATAAACTACGTCGCCATTAGCAAAGATTTGGGAGCATTATCACCACAGCTATATTAGATGAAGAAGAAAATTTATGATCAGGGTTACGACGATATCAGAGTTGTCATAGCAACGAAATAACGCCATTACAATTAATTCTACTTGCAGCCGTATTTCTTGGCGTTGGGAACTGTTCTTTCAAAATCGTTCACGGGAGCTTCTTCCTCCAATAACCGCCTCGATGCTCGTGAAGTTTCAGCGAAATCTGTAAGAGCGTTATCGAGACATTTAGGATGAGGTTTTTATGGTTAGAAATACCGTAAAAACTGAACAATTTCGATGTTCCGCCATTATTTGTAGAAAACGTAGAGCTTTTAAAATGCATTTTCGCCTCATTGCAGTTTTAATCTCTCTAGTCTCTACACGACCATGACGTGAGGCTAATCGTTGCTGTTTTCGCTGCCGTCGTTGCTAAATCTCCTTAATGAATACTTCATATAAACAAAATAAATTCGCGGCGAGGTATAAGTTTTATTTAAGACTATAAGAATGTGTTCTTAGTCCTATTACATGGCACGTTACACAAAAAACTAACTATATTAAAACAGATAATTCGTTTCACCGTTAACACATGGCTAGAAAAGTTTGATTAAGTTAGATTGCTTTCGGGCACTTGAGTAGTATACTGAAAACATACTGATGCATACTGCTAACACCTATCAATTGTTGATCGGTGAACAAGAAGACGGCATTTCAACCGCGGTTTTTCCTTTGACACCGTATTTGAAATCGGACCATTTGTACACGTTCCCCATTCCAAAGGAGCAAGATTTAGAAAAAGCAATGATAGCTTTTTTCGGCAAGACATAGGACCACACATTAACGTTAGTCAAGGTTCCTCGGAAGCATTCACTACTCTTGAGGCCGCCGCCGACATTATCTTGGTCTTGTCCTAGAACCAGAGATCCCCCAGCCTTGATGGTGTAGCCCTTCATAAAGTCTGTCCCTTGTTTTTCCATCGCTCCATCTTTGAAGAACTGATAGGTGCCATTTTCGTTGTCCCAGGTCACGCAGATAGCATGCCATTTACCATCATTTGCTGATACCCCGATCATCCTGTTGGCAAACAGAGGAATCAGTATTGGATCATACCGGTATCACCCCATGTCAGGGGATACAAGTTGGTCTAGGATTCTGCAATCTTGGACAAAAATGTTAAGAAAAATTGACGTTGCCATGTCTAGTTTCAAGATAAAGCCTTTGAAAGCACTGGCAAGTAAAAATACTCCCCCCTCCCCCCCCCCCAAAAAAAGCAATTTTAAATTATAGATTATATCTGACCGCGAATGAACAACATTGTCCAGGGTGGGGGGAGGGGTGAGGTCATTGTGGCACAAAATCCGCAGGATGGATTGGGGTTCTGTGGATAAGAAAGTGCACAATTCTTAACAATTTGTTTGTCCAAGATTTTGGGTTCCACGCCGTGGATTCCAGATTCCAGGCACTCGATTCCTGATTTTATGTCAGTGGAACTTGGATTCCGGACTCGAATCGCTAGTTGAATTCCGGATTCCTTGAGTTGTATTCCGGATTCCAAAGCCCAGGAAATTTCCCTGATTTCAGATTCCAAAAGAAAAAATTTCCCGGTATCCTGATCCGAATTCCCCTAACGAATCCACGTTCTGGCTGGATTTACTGGGTTAAACGGAAATCTGAAACTGAAGAGGACGTCGGGCGAGCGGCCCAAACTCGGACTGTTCACACGGAATCGTTTACTAGTTAATTCTTAAAGTGTAAATTATTTCGAATAAATGATAAAACTATTATTATTATTAAAACAATTATTGAATTCACCTTTCGTATGATCTGGAGGTTTGGATAAAAAGACCTAAATAAATCACAAGAAGTCTGAGAATAGCAGGCCTGAAATCCCAGCATCATCGACGTGGAGTGGGGAAACAACAAGAAATTGTCACCAAATCGACACAAACTCAATATGGCGGAAAATATGAATTTCGATGTCATGGTATCAGGGGCCAAACGTTTGACTGATTTCGAAGGAAAATAAATCTTGCAAGGAAATACCTGGGCAAAAAAATCTTACACTGAAAAAAGTATCTCTCCTGGTGAATAACGTTGGAGAAAAAATTTTACATTGTTGTGTGTCGGGAAAGAATATTTTATCTCCAGGGGTTTGGGGAAAAAAAATTCTCACCCAAACCAAATCACCCATACCCCCCTCAAAAGTCAAATGGTCGGGCCTTGTAAAAAGCTAAAAGGATACATCACCCTAACGTCTATGCCTGGAAATATTGTTACAATGCTCATTTTTCAGATTAAAATAATTAATTATAGTCAGAAAAGGTATTATTACGTCATTCCTGTTTTATGACGAAAATGTCAAAAAATGTAGGTCGGTTGGGACAACGCTAAAGGAGGAGAAATACAGTAAGTAAAGGGGATGGCCTAAGTCTCAGGCGGGTTCTTCCAAGGAAAAACACCAACTGTATACAACTTACTTCTCTTCACCACAGACCAACGAGCAGCTTAAAGTTATCGTAGTTAATCAAAAGCAGTTCGTTATCCTCTCCTATTAGTCTCGAGTTTTTTTTCAAAGAAATACACCATTAATTGTATATAACTTACTTCTTTTTACCACCAATACGTAAGTCAAAGTCCTTGTAATTAAACAAAAGCAGTTCGTTATCCTCTCCTTGAACGGCATAACTAAATGGTGTTCCTGCATTAGAGGCGGATGATTTCATCCAGAAACAGACGGTGGACGCATTCAAACTGGGCATGTTCCAGAGGTTGGCATAATCGGCCGTTCCTTTTCTCGGAAAGTGAAGAGCATAGTCTGTACATTATAAAAAAACGACATGGACGTCAGTACTTTTGTTTTACAAGACTTTATGACTGAAGACGGACCACGGTCACTTTTGAAACCGTCAACGAAGAATTGGGAAGTGCTTTATACACTGAAAAATACCTCAAAACGGAAATTTACACGTTAGGTGCTCTACATAACCCGAAAATGTTTAATATTTTGTAGTCTTGCTCCAGTTCGCTGAGTGTATACTGTTTCGCTTTTAGACTACAAAGCCGTGAACGTTTGCTTGTAATTAACGTTTGATTGCATAATGAGTAAAATTATTCCAGTTTTCTGTTACAATGTTCCAGTTTTATTTTAGCTGTTTTAGTTAAGCAGACATGTATTCATTGCGAATAGGTTCAGCATTAAAATTACTGGTGTCACGTAATAATATTAATAATAATAATAATAATAATACTGATAATAATAATAATGATAATGATAATGCTAATAATAATAGTAATAATAATAATAATAATAATAATAATAATATTTATAGAGGGAGCCCAACTCGCCAAGGCGGTTCTCAGTGGGGCCCTCACATTACCTAGACTCTCTATAAGACGGACAGTCAGGACTAGTCCAAAGATGTCCATCTTAGATGGAGTTAACTGTAGATTTAATGACGCATGACAACGATTAAGACACGACTTACTCTCCATGGGCCAACTGTTGACGAGTCCAGCAAAACAAAGACCAACAACGAGCGAAGGAAGTAACCAGGACATGATGCAGTCGTAGCTACAAGTTGAAAAACAGAAAAACGTAGATGATTAAAAATAGATTTACTTAAGCTTTATAAGGAGTTGTAAGATGTTAAATCTTAAAATGACGTTTAATTAGTGGATTTTATTTCAACGATTCTTAACCATTAATCCTTTCCCTTAGTATTTCGGACCATACTGATCAGGAGAAACTTTTTTTAATTCGGTTCATTTTTTCAAAGTATATCGTTCTATTCCTGTTAAAAAATTTCGACAGGCCTAGCTCAGAACAATAAAAAAGTTTGAAACAATTTTAACTTTCATTTGAGCGAAGCTTCGTTTCTGGTCTTTATGTCCGATTCTTTTAAAATGCTTTTAGCAAGTGAACGATGAGAAACGATTAATCAATTAAAACACAGGAGTAAAGTTCAATTTTTCGGTTCTGATATGCGAAAATCGAACGTTAAAAGAAACTGATAAAATGATTTTTTTTAAGATAAACGATTATTGCACTCGCATAAATAGAATTCCTAGGAAAATTAGGCAAACGATCAGTTAAGATTGGGCAAATAACTGCTCAAAATAAATAGTAAATAGGTCGACAATCCTACAATCCTAAATTAAGTTTAAAACCTCTACTCACTTTTCACTTTCAGTTGGCTTTTTAAGCTTTTATCAGGCTGTTAGTGGCAATACACAGTACAGTGCAAGGTTGTAAATGACTGCAAACGATATGTTGATGCTTTATATATACTCACCACACAGGAAAAAAAGTGTTGGTTACAACGACTAACAATGAGGGCCCGATTTTTTGAGAGACAAAGTACGAGTGTTGCCCTGGGATGCGATATTGCACGATTGGCCGGCCACTTGAAAGTAACATCCGCTTATGAGAAGACTCTGACTGAGGTCTCTACGACAGCCACTAAACACAACGCACCATATAACTCCCTCGCTTGGCGACGAACTGAATTTTCCTGTTTGCTAACAATGCTGTCGGAAATAGCCATGTCCTGGTTACCGAATCAAAGCTCTTTATGGGATTATTCGTTTAAAAGAACAATACAAACTTGATTCGAAAAATAGCATGGGTGAGTGGTAAGCGTGTCGATCAAAGTCCACTTCGAACCCGAATCCCAAATCTCCAATTCTCGACCATGCTTGAAGACAACAAGCAATATATTGGCAGGTTTGCCTCCTCCAGCTAACTGACTGGTTTTTTAAATCACATTTTGTTTATAAGCTCCCTGCCACTTCATTGTTTGGTCATGACTGTTACGTGAGAATGCGTGTTCAGTAGATACAGCTACTACAGCGAGTACACTTCACTATATCGAAAGTCTAACCTCTCGCTACGGACACCTCTATAATATGGACACCTCTCTACTACGGACAGTTCGTTTGGTCCCAGAAATGCCAAAAATCATACATGCCCACCTCTATAATACGGACACCTCTGTAAAGCGGACACTTGGTTCTGTCCCTTTGGTGTCCGTATTAAAGAGATTTGACTGTAGTCCTATTTCTTTGATGAAGCAGACTTTGACACGGTTGCTCATTCGCATGCAGTAACAACAGATATAAAATGAACCAAAACTGAATGCAAAGCTGGCACTACGCCAAAGGGCTCATTTGTTATAGGCCAATATTTCGGCTAACAATATTTTCGGTATAGCTCTGGCTCGAGGAAGGCTCATTTTGCTAGCCGAATTATTGGCCTATAATAAATCAGCCCTTTGCAGTATTGCCAGTTTTGTTTCATTTTAAAACATCAAGTAACTTCGACGTCTGACTACAGCATATCTTTAATAAGAGATCCGAAAGAGGAACCAGTCAGTTTTATCTGAGCGTTGCGTGGACCTCTGCATTCAAACAGTTTTTCCTAACAGATATATAGAATTGCAGGTTGGGCTGTAAGGTTTGTCTAAGAATATAATTAATCCAGGAGTTGCGAGCTCGTTGGATACGAGTTCGTTGGCAATGTCCAATATCTGTATCCGAACACCCGCTAACAGTGTGCATGGATTAATTAATAGCAACCATGGGAAATGATGCGGAGTAATGACTATTAATTGCGTTTACGGTCTAAATCACAGTAATCAAGAGTGTCGAGTAAAAAGTGCATTTTTTGGATCATTTGTTGTATTTACATTTGATCTGCTCTGAAGACGGAGAAAGGAGGGGTAGAAATGCCAGCTTTAAACTCTTTAAGCCCTTGAAACAAAACCTGAAACCTCAATAGAGCTGAACGACTCTGCAGCCAGGCTTTTACAAGAGAGATGATTACCTCGCAGTACTCTAATAAAAAAGAGCGTTTATTCAAATTTTTCTCGACGAAAGTGATTTGGAACCCACAACAAGGTGGAAGACATGAGTGCGTGCCTCTAGAATTTGACAAAGTTGACAATTCCATCGCCTGCTTTTGGATCGAGTATAAATACAACAAATTATCACAGATACTCTTGGTTACTGTGAATTATACCGCAAACCTAATTAATAATCATCCTGAGTAAAATTATTTAGTGTTACCCATGGTTGCAGTGAATTAGTCTGCTCACACTTTTATTTCATTCTCGTATGTTGGATGATATTTGATATGGAAACTGGACCGTAATCACCGCCCTCGTATCCAAGAAGCTCGCAGCTCGAAGTTATCGTGGATTTTTAATAAGACAAGGACTATATCCCATAGCAATGCTGCAATGTTTTATCCGTTTGTTATTGCACTATACCAATTAGTCCATAAACTCCATAGGCGTACGGGCCGGGGGGGCGAGGGGGGCTGCAGCCCCCCCAAAGTTTGGGCAACTCAGATTTTTTGGGCAGCAAGAGAAAATTTGGGCAAAGCCAGTTTTTAAAGACGTTTCCATGTTTTATTATTATTATTATTTTGAAGAGATAAATATTTTCTATTTTAACCAGAGGTCGGCGTAATAATTCAGTTACGTTCACACGAGACAGTGTTTGCCTAGCACGTGATGAGTTTCTGGTTATAAGGGAAGGGTATCATATGCTGATTTTTTGCTTTGTTGGGCACTGTACTTCACTGTACTAGCTGGAGTGGGCTATTTCCAGTCATGAATTGATTAGAATAAACTTCCGCATAACTTTCTAGAATCACCTCCGCTCCTAGAACAGTGTGTGGCAGAACACGCATCAGCAATGGGTCTGAAAGTGAAGTGGCTGACTAATTCTCAGCTTGAATTACGAGAAGAATCATAATTTTCTTAAAAAAATCTGTCGAGGGGTTTAAAAATTATTCACTAATTTGTTTAAGTAGACCGAAATGTTTACGAAACCCCTAACAAGATCGAGCGCTAATCAAATCCTTCCTTATAGCAATTGGCAGGAGCTATCTCCATGATCTTTCAAACACGTTTTTAATAAGATTGAAACTACTGTGAGGTGAAATTGTATGTCAAAAGCGCTCCGTTTTCTTCAGATTACGACTAAACATCAACATTTCCCCTTTTTACCTTATTTCTAACAATAAAAACTTCATCCCAAAATATCTCGATAACGCTCCTACAGTTCCGTTTTAACTTCACGAACATTGAGGCGACTATTGGAGGAAAGAGCTCCCCTGAAAGATTTTGTAAGAACAGTTCCCAGTGAGAAATATTGCTGCAAGTATAATAGGTAATGGCGTCATGTCGTTGCTATGACAGCTCCGATGTCATTGCAATCCTGATCATGACAAATTTCCCTCTTTATCTAATGCAACTGTGGTGGCAATTTTTTCCAAATGCTCGTTTGTGGCGACGTAGTTTATGCTCAAACTTGGCAGGTATTGACTCTGAAAAACTTTATCGAGCCACTTTCATATGCCAGTACGGCCTATTTTGTTGCATGGCCCTAGTTTCCTTTCGACTTTTTTGTAAAAATGTGGGCAACTTGCAACAATTTTTTGGGCAAATGGATTACCGCCCCCCCTGGCAAAAAATTGCCCGTACGCCTATGATAAACTCTAATTGTGCTAAACTTGCGGTTCTACTTCATTGAAGTTTAGAAAAAAGCTGCCCCCTTAAAGAAATAGCGTTCTGGTTAAAAACCCTCTACATGTATTTTTTTTTTAAGTAATCGAAAGGCTTTTGTTTCTGGTTGATGCACTTTCCGTATAGTAGCGCACTTCATCAGCATCATATCAATCATGATTAAACAATGAAGTCGGGCTTAACATAATGCGATTCAAATCCCAACAAGCTAGCCTGCGAATAAAACGTCCCTAGTGTCGAGGAGCGGGGAGTAAGGGCTGTATTCGCAATCTACCAAGAAGGGGGAGACACACCAGTTAGCTTGCCATTTGGGTCTTTTAGTGTGATTTATTTTTCCACATATTATTATACGATTGTAAGAAGGTCTGTAATTCAGCCTTGTATGTGTAATGTATTGCTGCAATGTCGAGTTTCTTTAATAAACAGTCAGAGTTTTAAAGGGGCCGTGCTGTTTCAAGTAAATTCTGTGCTTAACGTCTTTTACCCATACAAAAAATGTTCCTTATGAATAAGATGTTAAACAGATTAAATTTCACAGGGGAACCCTCACCATAACATTCTTAGAGTGTGATTTTTACAGGCATGGCATTAAAACTTGAAAAATTTGGCCCAACTTTTTCAAGCGGTTTCGATCCAAGTTTAATCATCCTTGCCATCCATAGTAACAGACCTACGACAGGAAACAATTTCAATGCTTTAAATATACATTAGTAAAGAAGTCTTGAATAACAAGACTTGGCCATTAATAGAATTTAGAATTCAGCTCAGTTGGCGAAGACACATTTTAGTTTTTCAAGCATTGTCGACAACTGGAGCCTGATGAGGGATTACCGAGGATGAAATCTAGGTAGCAGTCAGAGTGGCGACTCGAAGTGGACCATATGCTATCTCGCCGTTATAAAATATGCAAAATGCTCGCGGTTTCTTACTGTTTTCCCCCATTGTTCCTTTATAACAAATTCATAAAAAGAATGACTCAAGAAGAGGTTTAATTATATAACCAGGACATAGCAATTTCCGGGCCTCGCAAACAGGATAATTTAGTTATGGCATGGTCGCCAAGGGAGAGAAGTTTATGGCTTAGGTTGTCATGTCGTTGTCATGTTCAAAGAGACAGTAAGACGTGCTAGGAGCCCTTCAACCCCTGATGGGCCCCTGGACATGTATATTAGAAGAACTGGAACAATTTCCGTGTTCTTTTTGTCAAAAGAAATTAAGGAAAGCTTAGGGGTAACCAACGACACCTTTCTGTAAAATAACTGTTCGAATGTGATTATTGCCTAGAACTTTATAGCCTGCTTTGCAAGCGTCGAATAGGAAAGGGAGATGGAATAAAGGTGAGGGGATTGGGGACAAGAATGGATGCTCTTCCCAAGTGAGAGTATAATGTTTTTTCATCAGGGTGGCAAAGGGGTATTCCGTGACGCGTAATGAGTCACAAATTATCTGCGAGATGCGTGATCGGGCACAAATTAGCCGCTTGAGGAGTGATTGGGCATATCTGCTTTTTCTGCTGTATGGTGCGTGATTTTCTATATTCACAACATGTGACGCGAGTATTTCTTTATAGATTTCAGTGATTGGTGAATTTCATTTGAAACTAGAAGCACAGACATTCAAAACAGATATTCATGACATCATGATTTTCTTTTCAACCCCCAAAAGACCCTGAAAGCAATTTAGAGCTAATTCATTCAAGGGATGATATATTATTAACTAACTGCAATTGAACCTCATTTACATGATGCGTGATGGCCGAAAAAAAGTCAGCGTGATGCGCCACCCTGCCACCCTGTTTAAGTTTTACCATGCTCCTACCACTGGACAGTTTCAAAAAACCCCTCTACGTAAATCAAACCCGCAACCAACAATCCCCTGATTTGCTCTCTGACGAAAGGCTAAAAAAATCAGCTTCTCTTTGTCGTTACAGTGGCCAAGACACTAGTTGATAAAACCGAATCTTTGTATTTCAGTTCCCCATTGACGCAATACTGACAGGGGAGAACTCAGTGCCATGCAGTCATATGAAACGAAAACATTGACGTACGCGTCTGTGGCTTTTTTATCATTTACAGATTTTGTTCTTCGTTTTCCAAAACGAGAAGTGACCAATTATGCCCAAGTGTGGAACATGCCCAGTTTGAGTGCGTTTACCGTCTGTTTCTGGATGAAATCAAGCGGCAAGAAAGAGGGAGTGCCATTTAGCTATGCCGTTCCAGTACAGGAAAACGAACTGCTCTTGGCTAATTACAAGGACTTTGCCTTACGTATTGGTGGTGAAAAGAAGTAAGTTATATACAATTAATGGTGTATTTCTTTGGAAAAACTCGAGACTAATAGTAGAGATTTTAAATCTGGGGCCAAACGGATTCTTAACAACGAAAAAAAAAAAATAGAAAAACAGAAAAAATTCGAAACTGGATTCTTCAGCGTTGGGAACCATAAAACCTTGATCTCGCGTATTAAAAGCACGTTCACTTACCATCAGGACTTAATCTTCAGTTTCAGATTTCGATTTTATTCGGTGAATCCAGCCAGAGTGTGGATATTTTAAGTTAATAACGTTTTGAATAAAAAGATAGTTGCCCTCGAATAAGCGCCGCACCCAGGAGCAGTCGTGTGTAATGAATGAATGTTGGCCAAGCTGTTTTCTTTTGCGTTGTTATGTTGCAAGACAAAATCATGGTCAATGAAAACGCAAAAAAAAAAAAATGAGGCCAATATCCAGCCATACTAGACCGAACAATCCAACACGAGAAATCCCGAAATTACTGAGGTAGCCAAAAAAATATATATTCATTCAAAATATTTCTTCCTCACTGATTGGCTCAAATACAATGGACAATTTTTTATAACCAGCTAGCGTTAAACAAATTTGAAAGACGTTTGCGATATCGTGTACTGATGACATCAATAGCGCAGGCACGAGGTTGTTTTAGCTCAGCTGTTTTGATAATGCGGATTATTCGGTATGGTACGATAAGTGACTTGCAAGTAGGTGAGGTAAAGGTTTCTGCTGTCTACTCTGTTAGAAATCTGGGTGCTTGGTTTGATGCAAACATGAATATGACCACACATATTAACAGCATATGTCAGGATATTTATTACCATCTACATAACATCCGGCGTATTAGAAAGTATTTATCATATGACAATAGGAAGTCCATTGTACAGGCTATTATAATGTCACGATTAGACTATTGTAACGGTCTATTATATGGTACGCCCGCTGTTCATCTTGGTAAGCTGCAACGCCTGCAGAACGCGGCAGCTCGGCTGGTATGTACTGTATCTAGGTATGATCCTATCACACCATCCCTGATCAACCTGCACTGGCTTCCGGTTACACACAGAATAGAATTCAAGATAGCAATGCTAGTTCACAAATGTATTTACGGCGTCGCACCACAATATCTTTTAGACTTGATAAAAATCAAAGAGAGCTCGCGGTATCAGTTGAGATCATACCGGGGCATACTCCTAATGGACAATACCTATAGAACAAAAAAGACACTCGGGGATAGGGCGTTTGAAAATGCTGCGCCCAAAGTATGGAACCGACTCCCTCTAGAAATTAGACAATGTCAATCATTGAAAATTTTTAAAGTTTTACTAAAGACACATCTTTTTAAATTAGCTTTTTATTAGTTTTTTTATTAACTCATATTTTACTTTTATTGTTTTCCGAAAATTGTAAATTATTATTATTAATATCATTATTTGGATTAGCCATTTATTACTTTAAGATTTTACTGTTGTAATGCGCATTCGATCATATCTTTATCGCATGCTAGACTGCGCAATATAAGAAATAAACATTATTATTTATTATTATGGCACAGTAACTTTCTTTTTCACTGACAGGAAGACAGGGATATCGGCAAATGATGGCAAATGGCACGCTATCTGCGTGACATGGAACAACGACGATGGCACTTATCAGTTCTTCAAAGATGGAGCAATGGAAAAACAAGAGACAGACTTTAAGAAGGGCTACACCATCAAGGCTGGGGGATCTCTGGTTCTTGGACAAGACCAAGATGAGGTCTGCGGCGGCTTCGAAGAAGACCAGAGCTTTGAAGGAAACTTGGCTAGGGTTAATGTGTGGTCCTATGTCCTGCCAAAAGACGCTATCATTGCTTGTTCTGAATCTTGCTCCAGTAACCTTGGAATCAGAGGAGACGTCTACAAATGGTCCGATTTTATCTACGGAGTTAAAGGATGTGCCGCGTTTGAAATTCCCTCTTCTTGTGTTTGAGCTTGCTTGATAAGAATCAAGGAAAGTAATCGTTTGTTTTCAGTACACTACACTAGTCTCTGAAAACAATCTAGCTCAATTTTAGCTTCTGTAGGCAAGAAATTATCTAGATTTCAATTCGCTTTAATGGTTAATTAATTTTCTGTAAGGTTTGTGCAACATGTAATGCAATTAGACTAAGAACAATGACGTTATCTTAAATAAAACTTGTGGCCTAACCGCGAAAACATGTTGTCAAGTTCGTTGTAATCATCATTGGGAGGGAAAAGAAACGAAAAACCCAGGGGAGAATGAGGAGGGGAAGAGAAGAGTCTTTCTTCATCTTATCCTTATTACGCTTCCTCGGGAGCCTGTAGTTCAAAGGCAGAACGCGGCAACTATAGAGCGTTTTCACTCACGTGACCAGCGTCTATACAAATTTATTGGAACAAAAGAAAGCATTTACATAAGAAAAGAGTTCAACTCCTACAGGACTGGTTTGGGACAAGAATATGGCCACCGTGACGTCATGTGAAAACGCCCAAAAGAGTGTTTTCACATGACGTCATGTCCATATCCGCCATACTCTGTGGTGTCCCATGACAATGAAATGGTGGGTGGGATATTGGTGTTGCAAATCCTGTCCTTTCTTTTGTTCCTAGAAAATTTGCATAGTTGCTGGGCAGGTGTGTGAAAAGGCTCTATAGAATAATGCAGCCGTCACAGACGCCTCCCTAAAATTAGCACCTACAATAGGTCGATCATCTGCTTGTCCCTTTAAAAGACGGCAACATCGCTAAGACCTACACTGCCAGTATCGGACCGTGTTAGAGAGAATTCACTCCTAATCTTGTCCCGGTAAAAGTTTTAAGACAGAATCCATCAAGAAATTGAGTAATTTCAATTTTCAGTGGACAAAATACCTTGTAGCAGAATCTTTAGGCCATATTGCACCTTTATTTACACTTTTCAAGGGCTATTGATATAATTTGTCATCTTTAATAGGTGAATCTTTGCTGACGTCATTGTTTTAATTTTTCCTCATTAGCATACGACTTTAAAACTCATAGAATCCGTGGCGGTATATATGAACTAAATTCAAACGTTGAAAGAACTGATTAAGTTGAGCAATTTGTGCAATTTTCAGCTCTTTGCAAGCAATATTGAAGGGTATATCAGCCATCAAAAACTGCGAAATTGCTGTGTGGGCAAAAAGTTAATGAACCATACTTCCGCAGTAAAATTTCTACGTTTTAGAAGAGAATTTCTCCAAAACCTTTCGGTGCGTTGGGTTCAAATTTTTAGAAATAAGTGAAACTGTTATACCCTTTCAATATTCAGAGTTTTTATTTTATTAGCGTCATAAGATAGTGATAATCGTATGTTAATGAGGCAAACAGTGTAAAACAAAGATTCGCTTCTAACACTAAAGACAATTGCTTATGGGAGCCCGAGAAAATAATTTTCAAATATCACAAGCATTGAGAAAACACGAGTAAATCGTCATGCGTAAGATTTCATTTTGTGAAATTTGAAGCTTTTGAAGTTTGTTTTCTCGAGCTCCCATAAGAGCCTTTTAGTTGGAGTTATTTCATATAACTTATTGCTTCTATAGCCCTCGAAAAGTGTAAAAAAGGGTGCAATAATGGATATGCTTGAAGTTATTCTGGTACAAGGTTTTTGTCCACTAAAAAATAAAACTGCTCAATTTCCTAATGGATTCCGTTTTAACCTCGTGTGAATTAAATCGCTAAGTACATCAGGAATTTGAAGCAAAACACAAAAGACTTTTACTGCGCTTTTCACAAACATGCAAACTCTAAAGTTCAAAAGGCGCCTTCACAATTGCGTTTTTCGCTGCCGTCAATCATAATTACGACCACAAGCAACGAACCTTGAAACACAGAAACACACAAAACGGATCGAAATCCACCAATCACAAATCACAAACCATGACCTTTTGAACCTGTTAAACTAAAGTTTTGTTTCCTAAGAGGTCCGTTAAGATGATTGACGGCAGCGAAAAACGCAATCGTCAGTTGGCTTTTGAACTTCAGAATTCGCATGTTTATGAAAAGCGCAGTAATGATAGCAATTCCGTTGCCGTGCGCAGATACAACGTAGACGCCTCTTCAGTGCGCCACTAGCACCCAAGGGATGACGGGAACAGGGTTGGGGAAGAATTTGCCTTTTCTCTTCCCATCGTCCACTAGGCGCTGACTATTTTCGTTATTGATACCAGTGGAAGTAGAGGAGAGCTAAAGCAATTCTTTTCATTTTTATGACTTATTAATCACAAGTGAAACATTTAGCAGTCGTTCTTTGAGCTAGAGGCGAATAGTCGCCGGATTCAACACTAGGCTTAAATTATTAACTACAGACTTGGTATAAAGTACGGATTAGGTATAAAATGTAAACTACTACAGGACGGACTTAAAGTAAGGTAGAAATTGAAAGCCTGTAGCCTGTGAATATAGCAAATACGTTGGAAATGAAAAAATCCCACGTCTCGAAAACTCTGTCATAATTCTTCACTGTATTTGTGCTGAAATAGAAATGAGGGTTTTATGTAAAGTTTTAATGTACATTTTAATAATCAATTTGCCCTTAAAATTTAGAAATTTTCTGTTTATTTGTGTTTAAAGCACACAAACTATTTCTTTCTTTTAATAAATGGTTATTAGTTTGCCTACCCTGGCTACCAGGGAGGTATATATAAAGAATAAATAAATAACTCTAATTTAACAGTTACCAAGAAGCAAAACTTTCCCAAGTAACAATCTTTCAAGTTAATTTTCTGAAAAAAAGAAATGACAAAGAAAAATAGAAGTTTCTTTTAGCACTTTCCTTTTTATGTTCAATCAACAAGGCAAAAGAATCATAAAGTGCTATTTTAATTGTTTAAAAACAGGTTCATTTAGTATGTATTGTTCCTTAGTCTAGAATAAGTGTCTTTTAATGTCGTGTCTGTGAAAAAAATGCCATCGTTTTACTATGAGTCATTCTTCTAAAAACTAGTGTCGCCTACTTTGGTGCTATGTGATTTTAAAACATACGACACAATTCAGGGCAACTTAAGCTTGCTTTCTATTCTCTGCAAGTTTCACGCGCTCCTCTTTGTGTGAAGGTTAACTGTTGAGGTCGACATACATACATACAAATATTTTAAACTCGGATTTAGAATAGCTCGAAATAGCTAGCATCTCCGAGTAGTATCTTTTCTTATAGAGGTGTTAATGATCATGATTGGCTGGTAAAAAGTGGTTTTATGGAAGCAGACACATGTATCTCATTATATTCAGTCAACTGGTGCTGTTGGTTTTCTTTTTGTTCTCCAATAACAATAAAAAAGTGAATAATCATTAATTCAGGAACATCGAAACAGGTTGAACGATGTATCTTCAGTTAAAAGAATGGAAGTGAAATTTTTGTTTTATTTTCCAACAAAAAGTTTATATATACAGCCTTTAATGATTGACATATTTGCTGAAAGAGTTCAATATCACCATTATGTACAAACAGAGAAATGCTTCTTGCGTTACTAAGAAAATAACTCGAAGAGGGCTTCTTCTCTGACTTTTGCTCTAAAATATCAGGTAAGAATTGTCAACATGCACACTTCATAAGAAACGTGATCATTGATATAAAACTATGACATATTGACCATTTTAACTTTACAAACTTGAGAGAAGTATATAGAGAAAAAAATTAACTCCCCCCCTTCCATCCACCACAGCCATGGATAACAGTTTCAAGGTGACGTGAATAAACCTATTTTCGGAAATCAGTTACAGGTTGTCTAGAGAGTTTTTTTCTGAAACAGTGTGGCTTAAATTATCCACTAACTGTCTTTCATTATACGTCTTTGAGTACCAACTATAAATGTAAAAAATACCGATGATGGGAAATATTGAACACCAATAATGTATAGATTATTATTAAAATTTATCTAGGAAAAAGTGAAAAAAGAAATTGGCGTATTATCTGCTAAAACAGTGATCAAATGTACCTAAAAGTTAAACTGTTAATGTTTGTAAGTATACCAGTATAAATATATCATGGCTAGTACAAAATACTTGTTAAATATATTTTAATGTTAAGCTGTCGCTATTTTAAGTGGCCGTTTATGTTACGGCAATTGCATGTACATCAGCGTTCTCGCTTTAGTTTGAATTCAGATTGTCAGGTTATCAGTGAAATTCAAAATCCAAAAAGGGGTCCCGGTATCAGAAAATCGGGCGGAATTTGGTGTAGCAAAAGTGGTCTTTAGAAAGAAAGTCCGTATGTTGCTTTCAGTTTTGTTATGTTTTTCTTTCTGATTTTCCTCTAGTTTGTATGATGTGTATCCTAGTGAAGGCAACATTGTTTGTGTTAACAGTATCGCTGCGTGTTTTCCTCTTTGTGGAAAACTTCGTCCCTGAAGGTAAATTATCTGTATACTTTTTGGGTATAATTTAATCTTTAATGTTCTTTAACGGAAACATTTTTTCAACCGTACATTTACAATGCAATAGAAAATAACTAAAAAACCAAGAATAAAAAGACTCAAGCTAGTATAAATTTTAGAGTGCTTTAAAGATCTATTCAGGGTATCGTTTTGTGTTGTCATAAGTAGACCTCGGATCGCCGGGATCGTGATGTGAAGGCTCCATAACTTTAGGCACATGTTCCTTAGGAAGAAGTCTAGCCTTAATTTCAAACCTAGGATTAAACTTAACCATCGTTAGCTATCGTTCTACACTGTATTCAGAGAGTGTCAAAGCCTCTTCGCTGTTGATAACCAAGAATAGGGCGCTTAAGCAACCACGACCTATACGGCAACAAGAATGACAACGTCCAGTTAAAATTGGTTCCATCGAGCACAAGAACAGCTCTGCACGCGCATCACGCTTTTTTAGTACATTTCTTTGACGTCTACCATCCAACTACAACGTGAAATAGGAGGTCATCAACATACGAGGACGAATTTTCCTTACTCGTTTTGAACCTGGATTAAGTCTTAAGAATTCAACTCCAGGAAAAATGGCCTACATTTGACAAATGGAGTGGGTCCGAATAGACGCGATTAAGTATGAAAGGACACAAATTCATTTTATTTTTAAGAACTGAGACGTTTTCACTGCCGTAGTCGTGGTTGTTGTTGTTGCTTAAGCTACCTACATATACCAACTTCAAAGCCAAATAAGTAATACACTGAGATGGCTTTTCTCCAAACCAGACTCGTTCCTTTTTTTGTGAAGGAAGTCGAATTCTGACAAGAACATCAGACGGTGAATATCTTCCTGGAAAGGTGGCTAATTCAGAAGGATTAAAATTTTTAGTCACACTGGACAACGGAGGTCAAATCGAGTGCAGCTATGAAGACAGGACTGTAGTCGTACCAGACTCCACTCCGGCGTGGGTCACTTTAGGTGATCACGTGATTGCATTGTCACCATTGACGAATGAGAACCAGCAATATCTTACTGGCTTTGTGACAAGGATTTTTTGTCCACATGAAAAGGAGTTGTATGAGGTTACTTTGGATAATAATAATCGTGGGAATTACACTCTTCCACATTTACGAAAGCTTCCATTTTGCCGATCAGCTCATGAAGGTATTTACTCAATAAGCTTATAGCTTGCAATCACGCCTTCCCTTAAAAAAAGAAAGCCTGATCGTATTTTGCGAGTTTACGGCTAGTAAACATTTCCCGAATTCTTAAGAACTAAGTCACCTAGCCTGCATAGCAGGCGCTTGGAAGTAGTGGGCGAAAGAGAGAACGGGCGCGCGTGTCTCCCTCGCGCGTGCCCGTTTTTTCTTGTGCCCACTACTTCCAACATATAATAGTAACAATAACGTATAATAGTATAATAGTTTGGGAGTAAAACGGAACGTCTTTTTAGAATCGATTTCAACATTTTTTCGCCTAGAGTGTCGACAAAACTTGCGTTCATCTGTGTTTTGGATTAAATTAACTGCAAAAACCGTGGACGAAGATCCTGCTAGTTGTAAACGTTGGATCTCTAGAAAAGAGATCAAATCAGCCAAAATATAAAGAACCAAGAACGAGAATTCCAAAGACTACTGCAAAGCTGATTTAAAACAACGTGTATTGTTTTTTATTGGTTTGTGAGCATTGTGGTAAAGGGAGAGCAAGTCAAAAATGTTACACTGCTGAAGAATTTAACGTTGTTGTTTCGGCCCCGTCCACACCAATTCTGATAATTTTATGACCCATCTTCATCTACACCAAACTGATGAATTGTAACAAAAATTTCTTTTCCGGCTTGTCCTGTCACCAACTAAACTTCTATGCAGATCTTTTCGACTCAAGCAGGCTCAAGAAGGTAAAGTGGTGTAGTATGGCGTCCACACCGGAGCAAAAAAGAGATGTTTTTGAATCAAATTAAGCCCATCGGACGCAACTTTGCTGGCCACCAACTCCCAACATTTTTGGATGTTACATGTCGCGTCCGTTTGCACACCCTGTTGCATGTTGTTTCGTGTTGTTGGGAGTTGTTGCGCAAAGTTTGAAGCCAGTCAGACTTTTTTAGCCAACAACTCCCAACATTTCTTTTGTTCTGTGATCCCCTAGGCGTAGGGCAACAATGTTAAATCCGTTTGCACAGCTCTACCAACATTGTTGGGGCCACGCACGCGCATTATGCCTGGCTTACAAAGTCTATTGTTGTTTCCGTCCCACGATGCATACAACTCCCAACATTGTTGGGGGTTTTTACTTTCGTTTGCATGTAGCTCAGTAAAAAATGACTGTTTACTTAAACTTTATCGACGAATTTACATCCATGTTCTCATTTTAGTCGGCGCTCGTGTTTTTGCTCGCCGAAAAGACAACCTTTACTACCGTGGTTTTGTGAAGAAACAAATTCACTATGGTCAGAAACTTTACATAGACGTGGAGCTGGATCATTTGGGCCCCATTTCACACCAAGACAGCGACGAAAGAGCCATTATCCTTGACATCATTCCTTCATACAGTCATGTGCATGCAACTCAGCGTGTAATTGGCCATTTTCCTGGGTATGCAAGCTACATTCCAGGGGTGGTGGTCAGACGGAATGAAGACTGCTGGCAAAGGGCTTATCACGTAAAGTTTGACACCGGGGAAGAACGTCAACTAGATTTGAATGAAATTCGAATTCTTCCACCGTATGTTCAGTTAGTTTTCTAGAGTGAAACTGAACCGATATAATTTATTTCCTTGACGAGAAGCTTTAACAAAGCAGTGTACTATCTGTAACTAGATGGCTTGGAAATTGTTGGTCACAATTATCTGCGCTTTTACAATGGAAACCAAGCGTGTAGGGATTTTAACGTAAAAACCTTCTTTGCTTAACTTTGACCCGCGGCTCAGCGTTAATAAGACTGAATTCAGCACTGAATTACACAGAACCCGCATCTCCACGGATGAAGGATGATATTTCAGACTATCGATTACATGTGCTTTAGTGCTGAATTTGGTTCTTGTCAACTTTATAACCTGACATCAAAAAATATAAGATTAAAACCTACAATGTAGTCTGTCTAAAAGCTCGAACAATATTAGTTGTAGACAATAACAATAATAAAAAAAAATTCTCCTGTCACATGACTACCAGCAATATTACCAATGCAGGCTTTATTTGATTTGACCACAGAGATTCGAAAACCGCTTTCAGTAGACCACTTATGCTGTGTTTTCCATTTCTGTATTCTTCCAACGGGCACAAAGGCTTCGTCTGCACTTGTCAATACTTCTATCGGCGGTGGATTCATTTCAACTTACTTTCTGAAACAAGCCTGATGCACCGGGAGGTTACTTGGCTTATCGTTAAGGTCGTTAAGGAAGCTTTCCAAATACCTATGATTGCTTTGAACTGGCATATTTTTTCTGCTTTTTCTAAAGCAGCAAAAAATACTGTGATCTAAGTTGATGTTAAGAACGAAAAAATATTTTTAACCAAACAAGAGAGCTTAACACGCCGAAGAGTCATAAAAGCTTTCCTGAAAGCTTTTCCCACCAAAATGAAGCCTACTAAATGCCCAGCAACAGAAAAAAACGACACAAGAAAAGCGAAAAAGAGGGGAGAAGCATGCTCATGCCCGAACTTCTCAAGCCAAGATATTTTGTATCTGGATCAGAAGGCCTCTAAGTGTACGACCGGTAAATGGCTTTATGGTAAATTCTTGCTCTTTAAAGCCCGACAGTGGCTAGAAAACCGCTCGACTAGCTTTAAAAGCGTTTCTCGGCAACATTTCCGGGGGGCAAATGGGTTAATTACAAGCAATTAGTTGAAAGCAATAGCTTTGAAAGCAACAGCTGAAATTTGAATCTCCAGTATAATGTGGGCATCCGTTGCTTGGTGACACTTTTGAAAATCAATGGTGATAGACTCGAGACATTAAAATTCATACTTGGCTCCTTTATTTGTATCTATTCCCTCTAATTCCTTCATGGATTTAAGCGTAGGTTCTATCAAACTATGTGCTATCTTAATTTTAAACACCCCATATTTACCCAAAAGAACGGTGCCTCCGAAAATGTCCCTAACCCTTTCAGCTGTCATGCAGCGCTTGCCGATTTTAAATACAGTGAAAGCTCTCATAAGCGCACACCCTCGTCCCCAATAGGGTCCTTCAATCCCTTAATCCCGAACCGCAATTTCGTTCGATCCCGTAATCCCGAGGGTTATTATTTGGCATCCCACCTCCCGCACATAATTTCAATCCCGAATCTCGCTCTGATTTTGCTTTTAAATCCCGTATCCTGAGCTTCAAATAAGGAAAATCCAGATCCCGAAAAACCTGTTGGGGACCCTCCTCGGGACGCAAATCCCTAACTGGAGCTGGCCGCTTACAGGAATGTAAAAAAGGTACAGAGTTTGTATGGGAGTAGAGAAAAACAGGGTTCTGTGAAGGCGACTGTTAGTAGAACCGACCACTCACGTGAGTGTCCGTTAGGAAAGCTGCCATTGTATTATTACTTTTTTTTTTTGACATTTGTTAATGCTGATGTGCCTCCAGTTTAGAATTGAAAATAGCTTGACCTCTGTTACGTTTTACGTTTTTTCGCTGTCGTGTCATCATTTAAAAAAAAAAAACACCAGAGGGAGCCATTATTACATGTTTTGTTATTTGTGAATGAGAAAACTTATTTAACCCCCGCCATCAAATAAGCGCCGCCTCCCCTCATCCAAATAAGTCGCCGTTGTTTTATAAAGTAATCATGGAAATCCATTCGACTGTTTGAATCTCAAACAAGAAATCCTGAACAATCATATATTAGTCTCTGTAACTGTCATTTGTCTTTATAGTTTTCTACCTCTCCTTTGTTGTTTCGTTTTCTTCCTCTCTTCAAGTCATTAGTTTCATTTGGGGAATCTTGAGACTTCTTTAAAGGATGAGAAATGCAATCTGCATCATTTGCGTCGTAAGTTACATAGACAGCAACAAGAGAGTAAAATATTTCGAAATCCATTTCGGATATCTTTGTTGAACGCCACATACAAGCAAGGATTTATCGCGGAGGCCGTGTGGCTGAGAAACAGGCCAATTGCTCCGATACTAAATCCAGATTGCAGAATCCCACATAAATACTCATCAGCCTGGAAAAAGTAAAGGAAAAGAGAGATGTGTAGTGGAAGCCAACATAGCGCAAAGACCACAACCACAATGATAAGCAGCGTGAGAATTTTTTTGCGAGCTCCCAACTCCGCTGCTCTTCTTGAACGGTTGTTTAGAGGTACCGGCCGAATCCAAGCCTTGTAAACAACGATGGAGTAAAAGACGCAGATGATTAATAATGGTACGGCATAAAGTAGGACGAATGTAATCACTGTGTAGGCTTTCGCAGCTGTTTCCTGGTCAAACAAAGGCGTCCAGTCTTCAAAGCAGTAAACAATTCCATCTATTTCTTGGGTAGTCATGGCGTAGAGTAACGGAGACACTGAGAGAAACGATGCTAGCCAAATAGCCAGTATAACAAATTTCACAGCTTTCATCGTGATGATCTTTTTGAATGGAAATTTTACCAGACAGAAACGCTCAAATGCGATCACTGTCAGTGTTAATATGGAACAGGAGACTGTCGAGTCCGATATAAAACTTGCAAACTTGCAGAGTGCTGTTCCTGGTATCCCATCGAACCAATAATACTGACCCGTTATCTGCCTTATAAGTCGTCCAGGCATATTACAGACCGTAACCAGTATATCTGCGACGGCCATGTTTATAATGAGGCGGTATGTAATGGTGTTGAGTCGATTATTTTGTTTCACTGCACATATCAACAGAGTGTTGCCGATAATAGATACAGGGATGATAACTGAATAGCCAACAATGTTGACCACTCTTTCAGCGGCGCTCTCTACTTCAATTTCACAAGAATCGTTGACAATTACATCTGACGCAGTCGCAGCCAGACTTGTGTTGTTCATTGTTCAAATAAGTTAAATCAAACAAGTACAAAAATAATACACTACTTGAATAAACAAACCAACACGGCAAACTGATCGAGATCTGATTAATGGTGCAAAGCGAACGGGTCAACACGATTGTGTTTAAACTGAGGTAATCTGATATCAGTTCGACAGACGTAGCTTACTACCTACAAAAAATGTGTTGGTGTTCTTCATATCTTGAACGTGTTTCAAGTTCTGTTGAAAGAAAAATTGGACTGCCAATGACGGCTGCTTTTTGAGGTGATTAAAAAAAGCAATTAAAAACAACAGGGTATCATCAAAATTGTTTCAATCCACTTAATCTTTAATTCGTTTCCAGTTATTGTTTGACCTCACTTAGTATTGGTCCAAAAGTTTTTTTTGGTTCGTTAAAGGGTAGCAAGCCAATTACCACCAAACCTTTGGCGTTAGAATTTCTTTTTAACTGAATAGACTCGAGATAGACGCCTAGACACGAAGACGGTTGCTAATGATTCATTCAAAGATCTCTTGTTCCTTTTTTACGCTTTTGATTTAAAAAAAAAGAAAATTCAAGGCTCTATATCTCTGTACACGATTGTTCGTGTTTTTCTCGATTACCGCCAATTATACTCCAGTAAGCATACACGGGTTTAGACTGTCGCGTAATTTTCTCGTGCGGACGAGTGTAAAAAATTTTTCGGGTAACCAAAATAGAGGTGACGTATGTCTGTATGAACGGCTAGCGTAAACGTAAAAGCTGAGAGAGGTTCAACTTGTACCTCTACGCGCGACCTTTCATACAATGCCTCTATTCTATTTACGCGCGTAAGCAAGTAAAAATTATGCGGCGGTGGAAATCCATCTTGAGTTGTTTTTCTTTTCGTTGACTCACCATCTGATGCTAAAATCCTTTTCCATTGATAGCTAATTTACTCAGTCGTTATACCAGTGGCCGGTTGGTTTTTTTAAAACTTATTTTTAATTACAAATATACAATTACTGAACAACAATGTCTTGAATAATTTTCGCTTAGTTACAACAGGTGTAACACCTTTTGTTTCTTGTTTCCTAAGAAACTTAGAGGTTACTATGAACTATGGACAAATCCGGAGTCAGATAAGAGATATACAAAATTATATACACAAATGAAAATTGCAGAGAAAACGCTAAAAAAAAAAATTAGAATAAGCTAGGCATTATTTCGTCTAAATACAAAAAAAACAAAACATAAAAATGGGGATTGCAAAAAGGCAACCGAATCAGTGTAGAGGGGAATCGGATATTTTCTTTTCGGTGGCTCGTGGCTTGTTTAGGAGCCCCTGAGGGTTCAAGAAAACAGTAACATGCTTTTTAAGCGATCCGATCTTTTTGTATACATTAAATTTCCATCTTTTGGCCATATAGCGCGAATTTGAAGTTTCGCCAGATTTGTCTCATTTTCAGGAAATTAAGTGCCGCGAAAAGAAAAGCTGTAGCTAATAAGGTATCTTAATACTAACAAAAAAAAATGAAAATATAACATGCAGATCTAACAAATCTCGTGCTTTCTTTAAAGGAATTGTAAATTCATCCAGCTAGGGATTTTTGTTTGCCAAAAATTTGAGGATTGTTCTTGAAGTCTGAAGAAAAGAAAGACAATATAATGAAGTTTTTGCTGCCCTAAATGCACCGAATCAGTACTGAATACACTTGAATAAATCAGCTCACTGAGAACGTTTACTTTTAGTATAAAAATCTTTAATAAGCCTAATTCAAACAATTACGTGGTTATTCCTCTGAAAGCAAATTTTTGCCAATGAAAAGCTTAAGACTACATTTCGCACAGCTTTTCTAAAGTCCCGGCTTCTTATGCAATATATAAAGGGATTAAAAGCTGAGTTGCTGAATTCTGCTAAGGCAACCCAGAACCAGTAACCGTTTATTTTCATTTTCCTGCAAGAATCAGTACTGAAAAATTGCAAAAGGGATATGACTAGACTTGGAGTCCAGCAAATTAGAAATACACCCACAACTATTCCGATAGTTAAAGCTGCTTTATGGTTCTTAAGTTGCACTAAAGTCTCGTCTGGGTTTAACGTTGCGTTGACTGCTATTCGTCTGATTTGAACGCGAACCGCCTTGAATATGTGAAAATAACAAAGGGAAATGATTACGATCGGTAACATTACAGTGATGGTTGATGCAGCAATCCAGTAGAGAGGTAATTTAAATGGATCGGTTATTACCAGTCTTAAACACGCGAAAACAACAGAGAAGAACCAGATGGAAACGATGACAGCTCTGACGCGAGACCGCGTCAACATCTCGATATAACGAATATTGGTTACTGCGACATAGCGATCCACACTAACAGCACACAAGCTGAACGTAGACGCCACGATGGTCTGCATTGTAAGGAATTCAATTGTAATGGAAAGCTGATTATCACTTTTCCAGACGTTCAGAAGACTCTTGGAAACCCACAAAGGATTCATAAACAAACCGACTGTGAAGTCGGCAAATCCAAGAGAAGCAATAAACGCATTTGAAATTGTTCTTAGTCTTGGTACTTGGTAAATGGCTGCTAAAATGAGTGCGTTTCCAACACATGATGTTAATCCAAGAATTGTGTTGAAGGTTGCTAACACTACAATTTCTGTGTTTGTAAGTGCTCCAGAACAGACGTTTATAGCTGCTGAATTCATCCCTTGCCAGCTTCCACTTGGAGAAGTTAACAAAAACAGGTTTTCATGTGTTAATTGACAAACTGCAGTGCATATGGTTGAATTTAAGCAAGTACGACTAAAAGGTATTTTCCATAATGAAATAGGCAAGAGCGAAAAGCTGTCTTCCATAATTAATGCCATCGAAGAAACTTGAAGATTTATTAATTTTCGTTTTTTATTTGGACTCCAGAAGTAAATATGTTTGGTACTATTTACTCCTCTATCGTGTGACGGGTACATCAGCACAATTATTACGTGTAGGACCATAACAAAAAGAGGAAAATGAAATGTGCATATATTTTTGGGAGCTTTAGTTTTTGTTTTTATTATAGCCAAGAAAATAGAGATCCGTGTTCTTTCCTTCTTGTCCACCTCATAATCGAATGCCCTATCGTCGCACGTCAAATCTTAGACAAAAAAGCGCTGCTTTGACAGTAAGTTTTCAAAATCACACCGGTTTGACACTCACCACTAGAAGATTTCAATATTGGGGGGTTGCTAAATGACTGCATTTCAAATAATTTGTCCAGCTGCCCGTTCTCAAAAGATATAAACCCATAATTACTTTAAACAAAGACGAGAAGGTGACTAAGCGTTTGGAACTCTTTTCTCTATTAAATCTTAATAAAGTTCAGGTTACTTTCGTTGGTAGAATTAACGGTGAAGCTAGTTGATGGAGATAAAAAGAGCAAAACAAGAAAAAAAATAAACAAAACGAAACTGAATAACTGATGAAAAATTCGAAGCCTTATGACTTGTGAATGAACTTAAATCAAAAAACCAACCCGCGGCTATCCCGAACTAATCTTCGATGGGAGATTCAAACAATTGTGCTCACTATCTGTCTTTTCGTTAGCTAAGAGACTACAGCTATTTTTGGAAATCAGCGCAACCTACCTCCTAGCAGAGACTAAGAGAAGGTTGCGCACGCGCACGCAATGCGACATCGCGATAGCCAGACGCAACGCTTCGAAGGTCTCGTTTTTATCAAAACTTAAGCGCGATTCATTTAATTCATCCTAGATATTTTGAGAACGGACCTTTGGAGCTAGGGTATTGTACAGAAAGTAAGGAACATGATGGATAAATAAACAACACCCTCTAAAGGAAAGTTCTTGGGAACGACTTCGCTGTTGCCTAGTGTTGCCTAGTGCACAAACCCCTCGCAAAGTTGTCTAATGTTTTATGTTCTCTTGAACTGGTGCGATATCAATAAAAACTATATAGAGTTTTCAATTTCAATTTGAAGAAACATTCCTGTTGTTAATACGAAATTATGTCGGTTTACGGTAGTTGTTACATCGCTACATCAGTGAACTGATGCCAAGGACGAATGGGGGCATAAAGCTTCCCCTTGTTGTAAATTAAAGTGCCCTTTCGAGAACAATTTGTGACACTGCACGAACATATTATTGTACATTAAAATTTTGACCATTGATTGACAAATTAAAGGTATACGGTATACAATTTAAAAAACTTTGTCTCGCTACTTTCTGGGGGGCCGCTACTTTCGGGATTTACTAGCGGCCAGAAAAAAATTGACGTTAATTTCGGGGGGTCGTTACTATCGGAACTTTACGGTATGTTATAGCCCCCTAGTAGAGAAAACTGCGGGCTTTTTGACCAACTAGTTGGATTTTACTAAAACAATTATCCCTCTCGCCCTCATGGCCTCTGAGTCAATAGCCCATTTGGCCGGACTCGGAGCCCATTCGGGCTCGAGAAATAATTGTTAAATACCCGTTTTAGGGGGATGTGGGGTCTTTGAGGTCCGTTGACTGTATTTCGTCACTTTTGTTAAATTGCTGTGCTGCGTATTACAGAACACTTTGTCGGCGATCAGTATTGAGCCTTTGTAACCATCCTAGAGTGTAGGGAACCAATGATGCTCAAACGTCACTCTTGCGTACAGGGAATGAATTATTGTTGCCGGGGTCACACTCGACGGTACCTAGAAACCACAATAAAGCAACAAACATAACGTCACTCTCACTGTACATTCAAGAGATCTGTTTCAGATGCACTCAAACTGCTAAACAAGCTCTGTGGACCCACAGTCTTATTTAGCTTTTCTGGGAGTCATTTCGCCCAACGTAAGGGAATCCAAGACAGTCTTGGATTCTGGATTCCACGCCATGGAATCCGGAATCTATGGCGCGGAATCCAGAATCCAAAATTGCTGGATTCCAGAATTCACCGCAAAAATTTCCACTGTTCCGGAAACCGGATTCCGTTGCGTCGAGCCAGTCATTTGAGCACAATTTGGACAAACATCTTTATTTACAAAGAACTACTTAAACTGGCTATGAATCTCATTTTACCCCTTGGTCATGTTATCCCTTGACTGAACTGATTTTGTCCCAATTCAGACGGGTGAGTTCCTCTATTTTGTTCACCAAAGGGATCTTAAATTCGGAAAAACAATATTTTGGAAATTAAAGGGTACATCCATGGGCTGTTGAGTTTGAGCGTTGTCATCATTGTACATCTGATTTGTAATGTAACGATTTCGCGTCTTGCATTTACTTTTGTACTCTCTCTATTTAAGTATTCACCGGCTTAACATACATTTAAAGATTGTCCACCTTTGTAATAATTATTTTTTTCAGACGCCTGTGAATTTGGTTTTTGTTTGACGGACATTGTTATTGTCTTACCTCTAATGCCATTAGGATCTTCTTTGATACCGACGTGACAGATACACTTAACACTGGAGCTGTTTTCTAGTTTCATGCAAGATGCCTGTATATTGCACTTGGAGTTATGATCTCTGTCTTTTTCGTCAACGTTCCCTCCTGGATTTTCAAATAATTTTCAGTCAATAAAAATTGAAGTCATACACGATTAGATAAACTAACCCTAGTAGGAATTACTTACTGCAGCCAAATAATGCTTAAAGAATGTGATTTTTATCTTTATCTGGCCATATCATTAGATTAGCAGGAAGAGAAGCTAAAAAAATATGACTGTCATTTGTATGTCTATGATATTGTAAGACTTATGTCTTCCGCTTTGTTTCAGAATAATTTAATATACGTTTTTCATTTGCCCAAGGGCTTGAGTTAAAGACACGATCCAGCTTTCATGTTCAAAGCATGGCTTACGGGTTTTAGTTTTCATTTGCTACGGAGACTAATAGTCTACCCAGAGTAAAAATAAAACCCGATCAAAGGCATAAAAAACCTAGACGAAGGTTTGGATTTTCCCTGCCAAAGTGTATCCCTTGTTACCTCGCCGAGCTGAGGGGCTTAGACGGCCGTGCCAGGACGTTACGAAACTCGGTTGCATTAATTGTAGAGTTATTTACTAAGTTATACAGCCGCAACACTTTATTCAAAACAAGATCATATGAGTTTACGAAGAAAAAATATTGAAATCAAACCTTTCTGGGAAAAATGTATTTTTCTGAGTGTTTAATTTTTCGCATAGGGGCAGCGAATTACAGACGAAAAAAATTCGCTTAGTCATTTTAAATTTGTCCATTATTTTTAAATTAGGCTGTGGTTATAAGGCTGGTTGCCCGTCACTAAGGTTTTCAAAACACTGAATAGTTTTAACCTAATTCCCAAACATCTATATTCCTTGTCTACCGTTAGGAGCAAATCTGAACATAAGGCAAATTCAGATCGGAGACGGAATGTCGGTCATTTAGTGATCTGAAAACTGCTTAAATGACTGTTGGTCACTAGACACCTGGTTTAAATTACGCCTATAAATTCCAATGTTCGAAAATGAAGGTACCAAGCTTTGATCTGATTCCAACGACTCTAAACGTTAACAGTCGCAAATTATGAAAACATGCAAGAATTAAGCATATGTCATAACAATAACATACCATCACATTCGCCTCGAATAACTGGAGCTGCAGTGCGGAGTAATACAAGAATTGTAATGACCAAAAGCAAGTCGATCATGTTTCTTGCTGTAGCGTTACTTGTTAAACGTTTTAGGAAAGCTTTGTGGTCTGATGTATCCATCTGGACAAGTGTTATTACGATTTGAATTTTTTTCGTCTACTCTTAACCGCTAAATTTCGATTTGATTCACTTCTGTAGCGTGTACACATATGCTTTCTAGGAAAAGGGGTCAGTGGACCGTGTTTTTCCGGGAATTATGCGGTCTGAGGATATGATTAATTGCGGTTTCTGTGGAATATTTACATGACGAAAGATACATACCTTAAGTTATTAGCAAATTCGTTTCCAGGGCCTTCTCCTCTCTGGGAATAAGGCGAAGAAAGATCATGGTCATCAAGATATATTCGACAACTTTTTATGGTTCTCTGGATATGAAGTTTTGCAACCATTTTGAGAAAAACTGCTGTTCAAAGTGTTCAAAAAATTCATTAGTCAAAGCGGAAGAAGGATGCGGAGGAAGAAGCGGATGAAAACAAGGATTGAAAGTGGATAGAAGAAACTGAAGAGAAGAATAAGAAGGAGGAGAAGGGAGAAAGGGATTTGTCATCTTTCCTGTGATCGATGTTGATCTTAAATATCAGATCGTGTCAAGGGAACGTCTTTTTCTCACTTGGTGTCTTAAGACTGATCATAAACCTTTCTTCTGAAGCGTATTTTGACTACTTTATGGCGGTCACGAGATTCGCTGCTTCGAACCAGTAGAGCCGATCGAGTTCTCATATTGCAGTGCTCAGGCCTGAAGATTTGGTTACCTTGTTTTTTCGTACTCCGTGAAAGCAAAGTTAAGTATTTTCAGGGGCCTATTTTTGTTAATTTTATAAGGCCATTTGCACGATGACCTCATTTTACTACTACGACCAGAATCCTTCAGGGTTTTTTGCTTTCTTGTGCAAATTAGGGCTTTTGTTAACCTCGCTGGGATTTCCAATCAAATTTTTAAAATTGAAAGAAAAAAGAAAAGGATCCTGGTCGTAGTCATTAAATGGCACCATCGTGCAAAAGCAAATAACTGAGATATAGAGGGTCTCTATTATTTTAATAAAATTTCTTCAATTTCAACTTCAACTTTATTTATTAAAAATGGTATAACAATAGACTGGCCCACAAAATAGCAATTGCTAATCCAGGCGACCCAGTTAAAAGAAAACAAAAAAATGTAAGGAAGGAAAATATTTAAAGTTACAATAATTCTTAATTCTATCGCGTCATAGTAATTACTATTACATCTAAGGAAAACGAAAAAGGAATTGACTGAGAATTGGAAAGTATATAATTTTATACAACATGAATTTACTTAACTGTTAACCCAACTTTTTAATTATCAATGGCTTCTCATTATAGTCATTTTTTTTAAGATATCGGAAAGAAATCCGTGAGGTAGATCTCTAATATGACGAGGTATCTCATTCCAAAGTTTTAGGCCAAAACAAGAGAAGGAGTTTTTGTGTATTTCCAGCTTTGAACTTTTAACGTGAAAACTACTAGAAGTGCGTGATCGTGTGTTGTATGAATGAATTGTTGAAATTTTCAAATAATAAAATGCAATCATCCCTAGATAGGTTAAATTTGGGACCTAGATTAGCAAAGGAAAAGCCCAAGTAAAAAGAAGACAAACAAAGAAAAAGCCAGTAAAAGGCAGATGAAAAGCTATACAAATGGTGCTAAAAGTTATTGAATGACTTGATAAGCTAAGCACAAAAAAGAAAAGGGAATTGCAAGTCAGCCTACCTCTGAAGAAAAGTCCACATACTTTACATTCAGTGATCATTGCATCTTTCCAAGTTAATAGGCCATAATTCATTTCGCTTTCGTTTTCTTGTTAAAATTCGTCAATCCTGCAGAGGTTTAAAAAACAATTATTCCTCGAGCCCGAATGCGCTCTGAGTCAATACCCCATGAGCCCGAAGGCCGAATGGGCTATTCACTCAGAGGCCAGGAGGGCGAGAGGAATAATTGTTTGAGTAAAATCCAACTAGATGGTCAAAAGTATCGAGAATAAAAAAAATTAGCTAGTTAAAGCTAGACTTTAATCCTTTTTTGCCGCCAAAAAGCGCGCGCTTTTCGCTGCTAGTAGGCTATAACATATAGCCTAGTAGTAGCTCAACCAACCAGAACGCAGCATTGATAATAGACCACTAGTTGGATTTTACTGAAAAACAGTAGACTTAATTTGCACAAGAAAACAACAAACTGAAGGAGTCTGGTAGTTGTAGTAACATATTCTCACTGCATACTCATTACCTCATCGCCAAATATTAAGTTGTGGGAAAGTATGCGACTGATGAGGCAATAGGCATGCAACTGAGGAAACTTTAAAAAACGCAGAACTTGTCAACCGCCACCAGGGGAGGTGGGAGGGTCGCGAAAGGTGAAAGAGTTCTCGGAGAACCGACCCTTAAGATGGCCACGATCTGAATGAAACCGCCAAATTTATACCACCGGAGCGCAAACCATGATGATCACTACAGGCGTGTACCGACAAGGGAGAATGCGAACGGATCACACCTAATTACGATTCGAGCTAATTTATTGTGCAATGGGAATAGTTGATTTTACTTTCTCTTTGACATGATTTGTATGTCACTGGACATGATTTGTGTATCAAAAAAAAGCGATCAATTTTCATCCATCCATTTCAATAAAACCAAATGGAATCACTTCTCACTATAGCGGACAACCTCAAACCTCGTCGTACAACCAGGGGACTTACAAGGAGGGGTCTTAAAACCAGAGGTTCTTACAACAAGGGGTCTTACAACCAACAGTTCTTACAACCAGGAGTCTTACATCCAGGGGGTCTTACAACCCGGTCTCTAAGAACGAGGGGTTCTTACAACAAGGGTTCTTAAAACCAGGGGTCTTATAAAGCTTTATAACAAAGGGTCTTACAACCAGGGTCTTACAACCAGGGGTCTTACAACAAGGGGTTCTTACAACCAGGCGTCTTAAAACAAAGGGTTCTTATAACCAAGGTCTTACAACCAGGGGTCTTACATTCAGGGGTTTTTACAACAAGGAGTCTTAAAACCATGGGTTCTTACAACCAGGGGTCTTACAACCAGGGTTCCTAAAACCATGGGTCTTACAACCAAGGGTCCTACAACCAGGGATTCTTATAACCAGGGGTGTTACATCCAGGTCTTCTTACATCCGTGGGTTCTTACAACCAGGGGTTCTTAACCCCAGGGGTCTTACATCTAGGGGTTCTTACAAGCAGTGGTCTTACAACTAGAGGTCTTACAACCAGGGGTCTTACAGCCAGAAGTTCTTACAACCAGGGGTATTACATCTAGGGGTTCTTACAACCAGGGGTGCTACAACCAAGGGTTCTTACAACCAGGGGTCTTACAACCAGGCGTCTTACAACCAGGGGTTCTTACAACCATTGGTCTTACAACCAGGGGTTCTTACAACCAGGGGTCTTACATCCAAGATTTAAGATTCTCCTTGTTACATTTAAGATTCTTCACGGTGTTGCGCCTAGCTATCTTAAGGATCTTGTCTCTGTCTTACCGGACTCACGTTACCAGCTACGCCGTAACAATAATGGTATATTGCTAGAAAGACCTCGGCTAAGAACGAAGAAGACTTTGGGAGATCGCGCGTTATCGATGGCTGCCCCCTTTTTATGGAACAGTCTTCCTCTGCCAATAAGACAGGAAACATCAATCGACTCTTTTAAACGCTCTGTTAAAACATATTTATTTAAGAAGGCTTTTAGTTAGATTATTCATTTATTTATTTATTTTTAAATATTGTAATTTTACCGGGTAATTTTACTGGTTTTTAATTTAGTTATTAATAATATTGTAATGCGCTTTTGAGTATTTTTATAGAAAAAGCTCAATATAAGTATTAAATATTATTATTATTATTATCCAGAGGTTTTTACAACCACGAGTCTTTACAACCAGAGGTCTTACATCCAGGGGTTCTTACAAACCAGGAGTCTTAGAACGAGGGGTTCTGACAACGAGGGGTTCTTATAACCAGGAGTCTTACAACCAGGGGTCATACATCCAGGGGTTTTTACAACCAGGAAGTTTTTACAACCAGGGGTCTTACAATTACGGGTCTTGCAACCAGGAGTTCTTACAACCAGGGTTCTTACAACCAAGGGTCTTACATCCAGGGGTGTTAGATTTTCCAACCAGAGGTTTTACGAGCAGGGGTTCTTAAAAGCAGGCGTCTTACATCCAGGTCTTCTTACATAAAGAGGTGTTACAACCACAGGTTCTTACAGCCAAGGATCTTACACTCGGGGGTGCTGACAACCGGGGGTTCTTACAACCAGGGGTCTTTAGAGGGGTTCCTAGAACCAGGGGTTTTACAACCAAGGGTTCTTACAACCAGGGGTTCTTACAACCAGGGGTCTTGCATCCAGGGGTCTTACAACCAGGGGTTCTTACAACCACGGGTCTTGCATCCAGGGCTCTTACAACCGGGGGTTCTTACAACCAGGGTCTTACAACCAAGGGTCTTACATCCAGGGGTGTTAGATTTTCCAACCAGAGGTTTTACGAGCAGGAGTCCTTACAAGCAGGGGACTTACATTCAGGTCTTCTTACAAGTAGGGCTTCTTACATAAAGAGGTCTTACAACCACAGGTTCTTACAGCCAAGGGTCTTATACCCGGGGGTTCTTACAACCAGGGGTCTTACAAAGAGGGGTTCCTAGAACCAGGGGTTTTACAACCAAGTGTTCTTACAATCAGGGGTTCTTACAACCAGGGGTCTTGAATCCAGGGGTCTTACAACCAGGGGTTCTTACAACCAGGGGTTTTTACAACTAGGGGTCTTACATCCAGGGGTTCTTACAACCATTGCTTCTTACAAGCAACACATTGTCTCAAAAATCGCTACGGACCAAGGTTCTTAGATCTTCGAACCAGAGGTTTTACAACCAGGGGTTCTTAGAAGCAGTTCTTCTTACAAGTAGGGGTCCTACAACCAGGGGTTCTTACAACCAGAGGGTTTTACATACAGGGGTCTTTAGGCACGGGTTCTTGCATCCAAGGGTGTTACATCCGGGTATTCTTACATCCAGGTATCTTACATTTA